TTGGCACTTGCTTTCTGGATTTTTTTCTCTTACTTTCCTGCTTTTATCTTTCTCTTTCAAATTTTGTCTCTACTGTCCCCATTTGGCTCAGTGTTGATTCCATTTCCAACAGCATCTCCAGTGTGGAGCGCTGCCCAAGTCAGCTATAGAAGATAGTTTCAAGAGTTCACACTGGCTACACTGCTGCAGCACCTTCAGACCTTGCCGGGGAACCTACATACTCACTTACTACTGACTGGCCAAAACCCCTCCCACTTCCAGCTGCTGTTCTCAAAGTGGACCATTCCACTACCAGTGAAAAGAAGTTGACTATCTTGCTATTTCTCCTTTAGGGGTCCTATGGTTGTCCTGTTATCTTTACTTTTCCACCATGTGAATGCCAATACCTTTTAGATGTTATGTCTATGGATGATTACTCCCCATCTGCTCTACTGTTGGGGTTCACAGAAAGAACATTCACCTAGCTTTGTGTAAATGTTGTTCAAGGGTGTTTTGCTATCTAACTGTCCTTGGTTTCTGGGATCATCCCATTCTCCTTATTTCCTTCTACTTTTCTGAATCCCCTTATCATTGTCCTTGTGAGCACCACCTCCATGCCCACACCTTAAATAATGGTTGTTCTCCAGCATTTTGCCATAGGCCCCCTGTCTCGTCTAATTCTCCACACTACTTGGGAACCTTCCCTTTCTCCACTTGTCTCCTCCTTCTCAAGTCACTATAAGTACCAAATGAATGAAACAGACTTTAAATACAAAGAATATAGATTTTAGGGGAATTGTTGGAGACACAGTTGAAATACTGAGGATGATGTTAGGCTCACAGCATTTAAAATTTGTCTTTATGAAGATTCAGAAGTCCTGTGGATGTGGCAATCTGGATTTAATTTCACCCCCTGATCATCAGAATTCACATCCTTGAAGGATTAGATATTTTTACTTAGAGATAAGCACCTCTGTGGACCTACTTAAGGAAAAATGTAGGACTCCTCTTACAGAGAGTAGCTAATTTAGGCCAATTTTTTTCCTTTTGAATCAACAAAAGAGTACAGCTGATTCTGAAATATATGAAGATATTTCATAGGAAACATCATCTACTCTGTACCTGATCCAATTAATACTACAAAAATATGGGAAAATGCAATAAATACTGGTTGGTTATTGGGTGGCTTACTGTATAACCATGGTAAATTGTGCTATTGGACTTTTCCTGGAATCTCACTTAATCAGTGTCTGCCAAATAATTTTAAGATTGTGTCCAAAGATTTAATTTGTGTGATTTATTTCTATTTTCTAAATGATGGAACAGTAATCTCTAAATAAAACTTTCACACTGCTAATCTCTATAAGTAATTTAGCCACAACTAAGATGCATTAGTCAGGGAAATTTAAAAACAATTCTAAAAACACCCCTTGATTCTTTACCTGGGAAAAGCAATTCGATAGGCCTTTTGCTTCTCTAGTGGCCAGTGGCAGCTACAGCCGAAATGAAGGAACTGTGTTTATTCAGCATGGAAGAATCACCCAGAATCTGGAAAGTCATAGTGCAAAAATTTTGCTAAAAATTTTCAAGTATTTTTATATCAGTTTAGTTGGGTTTAATTAGTTTAAAGTACCACTAACTCTGAGAATAAATATTGTTATTTGGTTTAGCAGAGATAAATCTAATTGCTGTTATAAATGTCTCTTGGTTTATAGGTAGCAGCCAGTAAAATGAGCAAGGCACAGTGGACACAGGATGAAGAGCCTCTTTTATTCTCCTTAACCACCTTACCCCTTTCCATCTCATCAAATAGCTAACTGGTGCAGGTCTTCATTTTTTTCTCCTGTGTCCCTTCCTATTCCTATTTTGGTGTATGTGCTACCAAAGTAAGCACCATTCCTTCCTAGTCTTAATCGCATGAAAACACTGCAGTCAGTATACACATATACGACTTGTATACTTAGAGTGGTCTGAGATGTTGAATGATAATATAGAAGTCAGGGTCATAGTAGCGAAACTCAAAAGGGATGATTAAAAAAATAAAAGCACAGTTTACAAAGATATCCCAAGATTAACAGAAACCAACACAGGATGATGTAGTGTTTGCTGGGCTGCAACAGTGGGAGGTCATTAACACCATTAGGCCTAAAAGGAGACGAGAGGAAACAGTTCCTAGAATAGAGAGTGCTGCCAGTCCCAAACCACAACCAGCAGGAAGAGGAAAAGGAATAAATTCTTCAACTCCTCTCTCCCTGCCCTCTAATTTCCTATCAGCTGAAACAAAGCCAAAGCCAAAAGAGCATGGTTCAAGAGTGCAGAGGATAGCTTCTAGGGACACACATACGGTGGTGAAGAACAGCAAATGCGTCCACCGGAGGTATCATCATCACTTCGTATGTGAAGCATTGTTACTAACTTCTATTGAAATTAGTTGAAAACTTATAGCTATATAATAATATTCTGTGTAACAGAAGGCTAACTGGAAGATAATAAATACTTGCAAAATGTTTGCCGAATAAAGAAAACTTAGACTGAACTGTCAGCACAATACTAAAGTTAGGTGACTATGGCACACCTGGGTGGCTCAGTTAGTTAAGCATCTGCCTTCAGTTCAGGCCAAATCCTGGGGTCCTGCGATGGAGCCCTGTGTCTGGCTCCTCATTCAGCAGGGAGTCTTCTCCTCCCCCTGCTTGTGCTCTTTCAATCTCTCTCTCTCAAATAAGTAAACATTTTTTTAAAAATAAATAAAAAATAAAGTTAGGTGACTAGAACTGATTCTTTCTTAAACTCCTAGCAATTTAGAAGCTACCTACTAGAGTAGGCTGCCGCGGAAGCTTTACTTATTAGATATTTGGATGAATACACGGATGCCTGGATGGGCGGATGGATTCATAGATGTCTCCTAAAATTGTACACCCATAACCTTGAATGTTATCTAGCCCAGCCCCTTCGGTTTGCAGATGAGGAAGTGGGAGTTTCAAATTGCTTACAGTGCAGTACAGAATTAGAACCCAAATCACAGGACTCTAGGCTGTTCTGACTAAAGCGTGGCATCTCGGGGAGCCCGGGTGGTTCTGTCGTTAAGTGTTCAGCTCAGGTCATGATCCCAGTGTCACGAGATCGAGTCCCACATCGGGCTCCCTGCTCAGCGGGAAGCCTGCTTCTCCCTCTCCCACTCCCCCTACTTGTGCTCCCTCTCTCTTGCTGTGTCTGTCAAATAAATAAATAAAATCTTTAAAAAAATAATAAAACATGCCATCTCAAGCTTACCATTTAGAACTTGCTTCGGTCACATCAACCTCAACTAGTGATGACACACGCGCACACACACATACTCTTAGAGCGAGAGCCACCGAACACCGGGGGGCCGCGTACCAGCCTCGCTTCTGAAGGAATTCCGGGGAGTCCACTAGACTCTGTGCAACCCACGGGAGCAGCGAACTCGCATCTACGCCCGTACTCGAGACTTAGAAAGCTTCAGGACACCCAAAAGTGACGCTTAAAAGTTTCACTCTCCAATCCAAAATATATACACTTGCCTTAATATTATTCGGTTCAATCTTTATCTTACTTTCTATGAAAGCACAGTAAGAATAAGCTAAACCACGCCAGATTATAAGTAAGTTTATCCTTTCCCCCAAATGTATGATTTTCCATTTTACAGACCTTAAAAGTGCCGACTGATGAAAAAGTATTCCTTTCTCACTCCTAATTCACGTTTTAGTTCTTCCACGAAGAACCCGCAGCCGGGCGTTTCCAGACACCCTTGCTCCCGGCGAGGCTCGATCTTCGGCCATGCCCGCCGAGGCGCCCGCGGTTTCACGCTCGCGGGTGCTCGGGTCTGCATGTCGCTGCAGCCTGCTCGCCCGTGCGGACGCGGACGCAAACGTCAGCCGGTCCCGCTACTTTCCGGTCCTCCTTAGTGACTTCGGGGCAACGCATTCGTGACGTCAGACGTACTAACTGTATAAAATACCAAAAAGCTTGTTTTTGCGGCCAGAAGCCACGTCGTAAGGATCACCGGAGGTAATTCCTGACAGACGGTCCAGAACGGCCCCGTGACCGGTGCACAGCCCCTCGGCTTGCGGGCGGCAGAGGCGGGGCGCGCACCACCGGCCGCTCCTCCCTGAGGAACATCCCGTTCGTGGCACCAGAGACGCGTCCTGAGGAAACGCGAACTTTCCCGCCACGCAGGCGGCATCGAAGCACGTCCCGCTCGGCGGGCTCTTCCGGGTCCGAGAACCGCAGCAGCGCACTGAGGGGCAGAACGCGCCATCGCCGACGCGGAGTCAGGCCCCAGCCCCTGCTTGCGTCCGCGGCGCGGCGGCAGGGACAGGACGGGCGGGAGACGACCGCCAGGCCCACCGCGTCCTCCTGAGGCGGCGCGCACTTCCGGGGAGCCTCCGTGGCCGTCCCGTCCGCCGCGACGGCCGACGCCGGGAGCGCACGTCACAGCGGGACGCACGAGGGCCCGAGCGCGGCGCGCGTCCCCGAAGCCTCCCGCGCCCAGCGGTGTGTGGTGGCCCCGACGGCCGGCGTCGCAGCGGAGGCACCGCGGGCTGGCCACGCCGCTCGCCCCGCAAGGCTCGTCTTCTGCGCTCGGACACCGACAAGCACAGCAGAGAGAAACGGCCGCGCGGCGGGACTCCAGCCCGGCGCAAGGTGTCGCGGGCGTCCGCACACAGCCCCTCCTCACAGGGCCCTGGAAGGAGAGGGCCGGGCGGCACGAGCGGGCACAGACGGATACTGAAGATCCCCCGCGGGCGGGCGGGCGGGCGGGCGGGCGTCTTTCGCGCTGGCAGCCACCGGGGGTCTGAGCTCCGCACCCTCTGAGGGCGCGCGGGGCGGGTAGGCGCGGGCGATGGCGCAGGCGCAGCCGTCGGGGAACGGCGCAGCCTGGCGTCGCCGAGTCCACCGCCAGGGGGCGACCACCGCACGCCGCGGGGGCTCTGGGAGGGAGGGAAATGGGGTTGGGGGAGCAAGGGGGGAGCGGGGGTCCGGTCTGGGGGTGCGACCCTTACCTCCAGGTAGTACAGGTCCACGGTCGTGATCTGCGAGTCGAGGAAGTCCTCGTAGGTGCTGAACTGGGTGACGATGTTGTCCACGGAGCCGACGCCGTCGTCCTGATCCATCGCAACCCGGCCGCGGGGCGTCCCTAGCGACGGAGGCGCGGCGGCCGGTGCGCAGCGGCCGCCCCACCCCACGCGGTCTCTGCCCCGCCCGGAGCCGCCGCGCAGCCGCGTGCGCTAGTCCCGCCCCCGCGCTCGTCCCCGAGTCTCTCCTCCGCCGCCCCGTGACGCCGTCTCCAACGGCCGCTCCGAACGCCGTCCGCGGCCTCGAACCGTGCGGAAGCGGGAGCCTTTGGGAGGTGCGGCCTGCGTCCGAGCGCGGGACGAGGACCCGGCGGGACGCGCGGACCGAGCGCAGAGAGAGCGAACGTGGGCGCCGCGACCTCGCTCCGAAACGGCGTCCTGCGGGGGGAATGCCCCGGTGAGCGCCCCGGCTCCTGAGGGGGTTTCTGCGGGGAGCGCGCTGCGGAGCGAAGTCGTCGGAGATAATCTTGTGTCCGAACCCGAGAACGGAGTAATGACTCGTTAGTCCTTCTGAAAGATGTATCCGAAAGGCTAATTATTACTACTATTTGGATATGAGGAGGAATGTATGAATTTACCAAATTGAAGGAATTCAGTGAAAATATCTTTGAAGACCTCTTTTGGCCCCAAGTGCTTGTTTTTAAACTTTTTTATTTTTAAAACGGATTTAAAGTAATCAACACGACAGCTGGCAAACCTTTTTAGAACTCATATTAGATTTTAATATTTTACAGATATTCGGAAATTAAGATAGTGCAATACTGAGCCTGTGGTAGCTGCTCTACGCCTTGAGTTGCTTTTGAAGATTTTCAGATGAGCTAAAAAAATTTAATGAAAACATCTGGTAAGATACTTGGTGGTCAGTTAGCTTCCCCAATTTAAAAAGGTCATCTCAAAAATGGGAGTGTCACAGTGTACAAATTTTAAGTGATACAGACACAACAATCTCAAGATTTCACTGATTATTTTTTAATTAATGAAAATATCTTGAAATATTTTAAAAGCCATTTTGGACTTCTTTTAATGCAATTTAATCATTGAATTCAGAAGAACAAAGGATAGGGAAATCCTAAACACTCAAAATAGGAAAGCAACAACAACAAAAAGGGACACCTCGCTGGCTGGGTTAGTAGAGCACGCAACTCTTGATTTCAGGGCGGTGGGTCGAACCCCCATGTTGGGTGGAGCCTATCTAAAAAAAAAAAAGAAAAGAAAAAAAATACCACAAAACAGCAACAATAATAATACCTATTGAACCCTCCCTGCATGCCAAGTAAGTCATAAGTGCCACAGATTGGTTACATCCTTAACTAGTAATTCTGCTACCATTAACAATCACCAACAACTTTACATCATCTAATATCTAAGATGTTCTAACACACAAGGGACATAAGTCTCAATATTCTTTATTATCAATAGAGATAGAAAATAGAGAAGTAACTCCTTGAAGTCACTCGTGAAAGAAGCATTATTCTGTGTGAACTGAGCACAGCAAAGGCTTAGAAAAAGTCTCAGCCACTTACTATATGCAGAAAATTCAAGTATTTGCTGTAGTATAGTATTTATTAAGACTATCATGTGCCAGCTCTGTTCTAAATGCTTTCTGTGCATTATCTTATTTAATCATGACAACAAATCCACTAGGAAAGTAGCATTAGCATTATTAGCAATATAGAGACAGAGTGAATCCAAACAGATTGGTGGAGATCTTAAAGATAAAAATAGCAACACAACTTATTACTCCTGATTGCCCACAAAGGAAAGCCCAGGTGAATAGAGTTTGAAGAGCCACGTGGAATTAATTATGGAAGTTGGATGTTTTTGTTGTTATTGTTGGTTTATTAGAAAAAATATCAGATTGTGCAAGGGAGTATAGACTTAGTATAAATAACAGGAGGAAAGGATGTATATTCCAAGATGGGGAGGCAAGAAACATTAGGTTCTGTGTAGGGGAAAGCTGCACCTTGTTTTAATGTTGTGAGGGGGCAGTTAAGAAGAATAGAGAAAAAGAAGCTTCCTGAAGAAAGAAACTTATTAGGAAGGCTTTGAATAGTAGGTTGAAGGGTTTGAAAAGTTCGTAATCGTGTCCTTGAATATTGTAGGATACAATAGGGGGCGCCTGGGTGGCTCAGTTGGTTAGGCATCTGCCTTGGGCTGAGGTCATGATCCTGGGGTCCTGGGATAAGCCCAGCATAGGGTTCCCTTCTCAGTGGGAAGCCTGCTTCTCCCTCTCCCACTCCCCCTGCTTGTGTTCCCTCTCTCTCGTTGTGTCTCTCTGTGCCAAATAAATGGATAGAATCTTTAAAAAAAATTTTTTTAAGTTACCATTAAAAAAAAAACAGTAAGATACAATAAAAATGGCTTTGAGTGATGATCAGTCACTACTGAAAGTCGTGTCTTACTGTCAAAGCCTCCGCGGTGCCTCTATTTGTATTTACATTGGCTTTGAGGTCCTCTTCCATCAAGATGTCATCACTTTCAAGAAACAGTAAAGCATCTAGAAAATCTCGGGTTTGTTAAACTATAGCACTTTGATTATAAGGACCTGTATTTTAGTAAAATGCAGGGTCATTGCTTATGTGTCATACTATTATGATTTATTGTGATGGTGCATTTTCAGTGGAAAAACCTCATTAAATTTGTTATTTGGTAAACAACTCTTTGATGAAGTCATCTCTAAGGCATCTGAATTTTAACAATTATGTAAATATTTTTAGTCAATGAGTCTAGCTGTGTCTTCTAACTCAAAAAGGGTGATTTTGAACAAATAGGTTTCTCTATGAATATTTAAAGAGAAAAAGAAAAGTTATAAGTTTAGACTTGTTCTCACAGAGAGGCTTGAATTACTGTAGGCCTAATTCAGTTGTGTTTTGCTTAACTTTCAGTTTAAGTTCAAAAGCCCTTTTTGACTCGTGCCTGAGAAAAAGACTGACAGAGAAATTAATGAGCTTCAGCAAGTCCCTATTTACAACTGTGAAGTCTTTGTTATGATTGGGACAATACTTTATTTTGGATAACATACATTCCTACTTAAAGTCCAGGATTTTTGAAGATTGAAATCTGGAATTTAGCACCAAATCCTAGAAATTCCATTCCTTGCAAAAGGACCAGCAAGGATTATGTAGATTCACAGCAAAATTCCAAAATGTAAAAGAGAATAAATATGTGCTATATAAGAATAACAGAATATATGCCATATTTAGCTTAGTTCTGAGTAAAAACAAAGCAAAGCAAAAAGCAAGGTAAAAACAAAGTTCATAAGAATGTAGGCAAAATCTAAGCCTAAGTGTCTCCTTAAAATAAACGGTCTTTGGTACTGTAGTTACCTGGTGGTAGTACACAAGAGAATTTCAAGTTAAACTCTACACTTTTCTATATCCAGATGCTCAGCAATATACCATGATGTCTGAGGAAGTGAATAGGAGGGCGCCTGGGTAGCTAAGTCAGGTAAGTGTCTACCTTCTGCTCAGGTCGTGATTCCAGGGTTCTGGGATCAAATCCCACATTGAGCTCCCCGCTTGGTGGGAAGTCTCCTTCTCCTTTTCCCTCTGCTGGGCATGCGCTCATTGTCTCTCTCTCTCTCTCTCTCTCTCTGTCAAATAAATAAATAAAATCTTTTTTTTTTAAGTGAATAGGAAACATACTTCTGGTATGTTGACAAGTTCAGAAGGGGAATGGCTGGTTTACTATGCTCATGAGATGCTCAACACTCTGAGTAAGAACTTTTGGCTCGATTAAGATGGACTTAACACATTACCATTATCATAAGAAGGAAAAACATATGCTTGCTCTAATAAGATAAGAGATTTGTGTCTGATGTTGCCCAAGTGCTTACTAAATTTCTATGGACTGCAGATGAGGACTATTGCTTACTCTCAGCCAAGGAGAGCTCTCTTGTGCTTTGTAATAATGACGACATTGAATGAATTTAAGATATTTCTTGTGATGAGATCACTGGACTTCTACACGGTCTCAGTTATTCTAAAGTGCTGGAGCTCTGGTTCCACGGCTTCTGTCTGGAGACACATGTGTACATGTCCCCTACGTCCTGAGTTTTCTCCCCTCTTGGCTATCACAGCACATAACGGGAAGGATCCAAAAGACCAGAAAACAAGAATGGGGTTTCCGGGTGTTAGCAGCTGATAAGAGTTGAGAAGTACTACTGCACGATGGGGTGGAGATGATAGATACATAGCTACAACCCTCTCTTTGGAACAGAAGGAAACTTGGACTCTCAATGGCTCCATAACGTTTTTCTAACAATTTCACTGAAAATTCCCTCAACTTGTTTGTCTACATGGATATGGGGCTCTACCCTAAAATATTACTTCTCTTGAGTGACCAAACACTCTTAGAAAACATCACGTGGAAATAGATGGCCCCACTATCCATGTAAAGCTGCGAGTTTCAACTGGGTACTCACCACTGCCCCCCAGTCTTACTGTGTTTTCTCCCTTTGGTTCACTCTGATTTTCCTCAGTGAATTTTCCTGTTTTCTTTTCTCCCTTTAATCCTATATCTTCCTGTCTACAAAACAGATCATCTTAACTTCTCCACAAATGAAGTAAAACTCATCAGATTAGATATTCTTTAGTCAAATATACAGGCTTACACATCAATTCTTTTCGTCTTCCCTTTTGTTTCAAAGAGATTTACCTCCTCTCAGACCTTTGTTCTACACTGTCTTTCTCTTTCTGCCTTCCCAGCATGTCTTATTTTGTTTATCCACTCTTATCATGAATGTATCTCTCTTCTCCTTTTTCTTCTCTCAAAATCTCTCCATGCGCCTCCACCTTTCCCCCATTTTAAAAACCAAGCCAAAAAAAAAAAAAAAAAAGTAACAACAACAAGCAAATGAATTTAAAAGCAAACCTCTCAACTTCACAGCCCACTTCAGCAGTAGGCCCTGCCACCTTTCACAGCAAAGCTTCATGAAAGAGTTAGCTATAATCACTCTCTCCCTTCTTTCCAACCACTTTCTGCCCAGTGCATTTCACCAAGTTTTACACACCGCCCCACAAACTTTTTACCAAATTCAG